ATGTCTAAAATTTGAAATTCTAAATAATAATTATAACTAATACCATCTAAGCCGAACTAAAGATTAAAATAAAAATAAAAAAGAACCCAACAATAAACATGTCAGTATTAAACTTCTATAGATAAAAAAAAGCTCTGCTTAGTTTACATGGAGTATAAAGATGAATATATATATATATATATATATATATATATATATATATATATATATATATATATATATATATATATTAATTTATACATGTATGTCTTTGCCCCTAAAATAAGAACAGGCCTATATACCTTTTTAAAAATGAAGTTTCAAATAAGACGGCATAACTACACACACAGATAAACACACACACACTCACATACACACACATCTGGAATCTCTGCACACCACGTCTGCAAACAACCTACCACCAACTACGAACTTTGGCCCCAAACATCCCCCCTTTTAAACTTGGGTTCCTATACACACAGCTCTTCATTTGAACTTCAGACACATTATTTTTTTCTAAATTGACATTCCAGTTCCAGATTATTACACATGTGTGTGGGAAAACAAACATTGAAATAACGCGCCTCGCCGCTGACTGTGTCAAACGACGTTATTTTCCACCCAGACCCTAACTCTTCAATTTACCCTTTCTACCTACAATGCGTCACTGACCCAACCCTTTCGGCTTTCATCTACACACACACACACCACCTTCTAACAATATATTTGATAAAAAATAATAATATCATTAAGGAGATCAAAGTATAATACGCAAATTAAAAGAATTATGTTATGCACTACTTAGGAATTAAAGCGAAATTTAAATTGATAAAACAAATTTACCCAAAACAACAAATTTACGAATTATGTTAATATACATGAAGTCGAAAACACAATATAACTTTAAATATTTCAAAACTAGGATAAAGAGTCAACGGTAGAAATGAACTATTGCTTACGTTAGGGTCATAAAAAATAACATTAGCTTAAAGTAGTTATGATTAATAATTGCATTAAGGAAAATTCTGAAGAACAATTAAAAAAGAAATAAACCGGGAGTGATCTCCCCTAAACTTTCGCGAATATTCTAATATAAAATTACAAGGGATGGCAACTCAGGACATAGACAATATTTGTTATCCATTTTTAATTACTTAAACTTTTTATAATAGAATAGAATCTCGTAAAAAAAAAGAATTGCACACCAAGTGAAAAGTTTTCCTTTCAAACCTGACGGTCTATGGGGCAAGTGAAGTAGAGTTCACTTGTTTCTGTGACCTAGGCATATGAAGAGATAGTGTGGTCAGCACTATGTCCAGCCGCCTTTACTTTCCCTAACAGGAGTTAGGTACACATCAGAGTTGGGTGGACTCAGGGACGGTCTACTGACTTGAACTCGGATTCGAACTCGGGACTAACGGGTTAGCAGTCCAGCTCTCTACCGCTAGACCACTCCGTCCCACACCAAGTGAACGCCTAATAAAATGTGTACCTAGTAAAAGAAAGATTGATGAAACATTTTGGAAAGACAGAAGACTATTACAGAAAGACTATACGAGACGCCAGAAATAACAACACTGGTGACATAAACCAGATCATTTTTGATATTCGCAAACACATGAATAAAAGACTAGAATTGGCAGAAATAGATTTAAAGAATGCTGAGGCAATTAGTGAAATTAACCTGATAGATCATGTTTTAAATAATGCAACAGATAGTTTATTCTCTTTTTTGAGTGAAAGAAAAGTTAGGACACAGAAACAATTAATAGAGCAACTTAATATTTATAAGGATGCACATCCAGGGGCTATTTTGGACAAAAGAGAGCAGGGAGAGATTTCAGCAGCAGTCTACAGTAGAAACTCTGGCAGGGATCAAAGAAGGTATGGCAACAACAATAGAGATAGAAGTAATAGTGCACCTACCAAATGGAAACCAGACAGATATAAATATAGCAGAAGCACAGAGTGTTACCACTGTGGGAAAACAGGACATGTAAAGTCTGAGTGTTTCAGCTTACAAAATAGAGATACATATCTCAGCAATAATGACAGAGGAGGTTATGCACCTAATAATAATTACAGAAATCAAAGTAATTATTACAGACAAGGACAGTATAGTGGACAAAGTAGAAATGAATTCCATAATCAAAGTAGACGGCCACGAATGGGACCAGACAACAAGGAAGAAAATAGAAATAGTAAAAATAACAATCAAGAGACATAAGCAGGGGTAGAAGGGTCAGAGACAGTGGCATCTGTTACACAAAGCAATACAACACTGAAGATGTTCCCAGCTATAGTAAACGACACCAGAGTAATGTGTCTGAGAGATTCAGGTTGCACATGCATTATTGTTAAGAAAAGTCTTATAAGACCAGAACAGTACATTCCTGGCATAATGAAGATGACATATGCCAACAAGAAATTTAAGGATGAGTGTGAGATAGCAGTAGTTGATATAGATTCTGCTTGGTTGAAAGGTAAATATAAAGTAGCGGTCATGGAAGAACCAATAGCAGATATGATTATTGGGAATGTAAAGGAGGTGAAAGAAAGTAATGAGGAAGATACAGATAGATGGGAAAGTCAAATTGGAGCAGCGGTTGAGACAAGAACACATAGAGACACTAAAAGAACTCCTAGAAAGAATAAGGAAAGAAACTGCATGTGGGAGTACATACAGTAGAATTCCTAGGATTCAAGGTTGGAAATAAAGAAATTAGACCTACTGAAGGAAATAGGGACAAAATATTAAATATCAAAACTCCTAGTACAAAGAAAGAAGTGAAATCATTGTTGGGACTATGCAATTTTTATAACATTTTTGTAGATAAATATGCTGAACTTACTACTCCTTTAAGATTTTACTTTCACAATTTAATATATAACATCAGTTATCATGTTTATATAACCTGGTTTAGTGGATGTAACAATATCATTTTTAACCACTTTAGTTGTATTACCAACCTCAGCAGTTTAAACAAAATTTATTTCATTGATTAGCTCTACACATTCCTTTTTGGCTAACAAAATCTGTTACTTTTTATGTTGTGTACATTGGTACTTAAGCATCGGTGATATAAAGTATAGCTACCACCACTGAGGACTATTAACATACATTATTTTACATGTTATTGACTTTTTAAAATTTGTAAGTTAGAAAACCAATTAAATTAAAGCATGGAGTTTGTTATCATAATTTGTTATGTTATATATATTATATGTTATAATATAGAGCTTAACTATATGTTTGGAATTTTGACTTGGTAAATAGTGCTTTCATAAGGAAAATGGATTTGTCTAGGAAAATTATGTCAAGGAAAGCTAATCTGTAAAGGGACAGCACAATAATAATAAACTATACCCAGTACAATACCTCAGCAGGGCATTATCACCAACAGAACAAAGATATGCAGTGATTGAGAAAGAGTGCCTAGCAATTGTGTGGGCATTGAATAAATTACATAAGTATTTATTAGGAAGACACTTTACTCATAGAATAGATCATAAGCCATTAATCACAATCAATAAGAAAATGATAATGAATAGCAAAATAAATAGATGGGCACTGATTTTATTAGATTTCAAGTTTGAGATAAAAACAGTAAAGGGACAGCACAATACACTAGCTGATTTCTTATAAAGACAGATTGAAGATGAAAAAACAAACATGGAACTGACTAAAGAAAATAATGACCTGAGACATATCAGGCAATCCTTATAAGGAAATTTTGAATAATGTAGTATGTGATGTGTACTTCCAGAGAACATTAACATTTTAAAAATGTGAGCAAGATAGGAACAAGTCATAACATGACTTGTATAGATATGTTTTACCACTATTTTAATTTAGTAATGAAAATAAACATACATTTTGTTGTATTTCTGTGATTTGTGTGTATACTGTATATCTTGTTAAGTAATAAACATGATTATGGCAGTATGAGTTGACAGATGTGGTAAGTTACATATGTTATGATGAGGAGTTGACCTCAGCAATTGAAGTAGGGAAATCATGGATATGATTTACCCATGGGAGCTATTACATAGCTATGATTTTGTTCTACTAAGAAGCGCTGTTCCTTAGTTAGATTCATATGTTATTATTAAACTAAGATGGTTTACCTTAGTTACCATTTTCTTTATGGGGCTATACTTATAAGATAAGTGAATCTTTGCACTTTGCCATGTATTTTATGAATATCATTGTTTTAATTTGGTAAGTGTACATATAAAATAATTTAGGATGTTCATTAGCAAGTTTCTTTTTAAACATGATTTTCATTTAACTGTTACATTTATAATGAAGATTTTATAGTAAATGTGATGTATATAAAAAAAAATAATAAATTATTTTTTTTAAACGGGAGAAAGGGCGTATAACAGTTAAATGTATATGAATGTATGTTGCGAGTGTGTGTATTGAAAAGGCGAGATAAATATAAAATATAGTGTGGGTGTGCGCATGCGCAAAAGGAAAGGAAGCGAGAGGTAGATAAGGCGCGAACAACATGGCGATGATTGGTAGTGAAGGTAATGTTCTTATGAACTAATAAAATTATGGAAATTAACGGAACAAGGGTTGATTTTTGTTTTGAGTGTGTGCCATGAAATAGGTAGGAGAAAAGTCCTGTGACAGTTTATATATTTGTATTTATAATTTTTGCCTGATTAAAATAAGTCCTCTATACTCCGGATGTGATGAAGGACTGAGGAGTAAAACGGTGATAACTGTCAAAATTTCGTGTTATTTTTGTGCACGATTACAATACTTTCTCTATACTTCGTATATACGAGAAAGTAATAACATATCTATGTTAACCAGAATATTTTTTTTAAAATAGTTGTTGAAAAAATACAATTAAATTATACTCATTTAAAAAAAATAAATAAACAAGATCATTATTGTATAAATGAGCAGCCTATTATAATCTGGTTTTGATAGTTTCTCGTCAAAAGGCATCATTGTGAGATTAACCTAATTCAGCAAAAAGCTGTTAGAAAATGATGTTTTTTTTTTATAGCTCTCCTCCACTGTAGTTGAGTCCAGATTTTGTTCCGCTGTGTACATGACGATCAGACAACGACCTAAATCCTGGCCTGTACACATAAGCTCCAGCACTTCCTGGACATGTAGCTGCTGTGTACCAATACCTTGTGAGCCCATAGTCCAAGTCTCGTTTATGTGTCCATTTTCCAATTGAGACTTGTTTAGGATTGCCATGGGGATGGGATACTATAACAATCAACTTTTCCATGCTTAAAAATCTCCTGTATTTGACGTTTACCTCCGTAGACAGTTCATTAAAGCGCACGCACATCTTTTCCAGTTTATTAATGAACTCTAGGTTACACGTCACGTGTCTCAACTCACAAAAATCCCCCTCAATCTCTGCCCCGCACACCTCCCAACCGTCAAGACTAACAACTGGACTTTCAATGTCATCGTAGCCTAAAACACATGTAGTGTGTCTCGCCTCGCTGTCATCAAACACAACACAGTTGGCTGTGTCAACACGAATCTCTCCCCACACTAAGCTTGGCGCGGCAGAGACTTGACACGTGATACAACGGCACCTTCCCTTTCCGTCCCTTTCAGTGTACTTATTCACTTCCCAAACCTTGCCTGTCCCTATCCTTGTTCCACAGCTTCTTCTGTCGTTATAATATGGATATGGCTCTTTAGAACCTGGGTAAAACTTCGGTCTTCGTGGGCTGGTGAATTTAGTCTGCACCATGACAGTTAAAGCTGCCAGAATTTTTATTGTCTGGAGTATCAGGTTATTTACATCGTAGTGTAAGTGCAGACAATTGTCATTTAAATCTTTCAGAGGCACGAAACCATTGTGATCTGGGTTTTTTCTACAGACCTTTGAACGCTTCACCAAATCCAAACCATCGTCAGTACTGGTATTAGGATGCACTATATAAAACAAAATAAAAAACAGATATCAAAATCTCTAACATTAAGTGATGAAAATTTTCTTCCTACAACCAAAGCGTTTTTCTATTCTACCTTTGAACGTAATCGTAAAATATTGACATCCACAAGTCTTTTTTAATCTTTTTATTTGTCAGTAAGCATTTTATGACTATTTTAACGGTTGTACACATTTCATATATTAGATAACAGTTTTACCAAAATATTTTTTAGATTTATTTTAGAACCAACCACCTGTAATCAGTATCAAAACTCCCGTATTTGATTGAGTTGTTTCTCGTATACAGTCAGATAGAAGTAAATATTTACTTTTACTTCCATTTTAAATTTTAAAAAAAAAATAACCTTTATGTTTGAATATATTAAAAATGAATGAATAGCTTACCATTTTCTTGATACAATGGACTGTCCAAAGTCGAAGCAGTACCTTTTAGGCTGCTTCTTTCTCTGATGTGTTCCTGTAATATGTCTGTTAATATAAAAATGATTCTCTTAAACAAGTTGTAATTTTATTTACCTTCACATTGAGTGTAATTATCAAAAGATTTTAAAAAAACGTTACATAACATCTAAGAGATTAAATCTCAGGTGCTATAAATTTCTTATCGACATTCTTCAAAAATCAACTCATTAAATTCCTCGCTTCAACTCGTTATTATTGTGTAGTATGTGTGAATAATAACTTTTTTTTTTCAAATTAAATTTATTTGAAGGGACAAATCTATATCGTCTGAGACACATGTATTATTTACCTTAAAAACTTGAACCTATGGATATCATTTGAGTTACACATTTTTAACATTAGCTTTAATAAATAAAAGCAGTGGCGTCGCTTGGAGGGTGACGCCTGGTGCAGCACATCATAGTGTCACCCGCCAAAGAAATAAAATCGGATATATATATATATATATATATATATATATATATATATATATATATATATATATATATATATATATATATATGTATGTATATGTCAATAGTTCTATATATTTACAATCGGAGTTCCCCCCACCCCTCACAAATTATGCGTAATGGCGTCGATGTTTGCGAACATTATATTAACCCAAGTATTTTAAAAAAGTATCGTTTTCATGGTACTCTATTACATTTGGTATTACCCTCTCCCCGATCGTTAATTAACTTGACATATTATAGAAAATGCTTAACAAAACCTTTTTCACTTTGTAAATTTTGCAATTTGTGTACTCCCCTTCTTTGATAGCTTTAAAGTGTGCACATTTAATAGTAACGATTTTTATATATAGGCTACTACAGCTGGTTGTAGCATTGTTTTCTCTATAGTTTGTGCAGAGGCGTAGCGATCCTTCCCGGCGCCCGGGGACAAAATTTTCGATTTGCACCCCCCCCTCAAGATTTCGATTTGCATCCCCCCTCAAACTTTCGATGTGTACCCCCCCCCCCCCCTCAAACTTTTGATTTCCACCCCCCTCAACCTTTCAATTTATTTTTCCAACCCATTTTGGCGCCCCCTATGGTCGGCGCCCGGGGACATATGTTCCCCCCGCCCCCCTCGTGTCGTCACCCCCCCCCCCTCCCCCCACTTCTATAGGGAATGTCAATTTCTACTTAGAACCGCTTTTTAACTATAATTAATCATTAATTGAACTGGCAAAAAGCATTTTTCTTTTATATAATTTTTGCATCGGTGTCACTCCCTTAAATGGTGTCACCCTGTTAGGATCGCAAATCTTCCACCGCCTCGCGACGCCTCTAAATAAAAGTAATCACTTTGGAAATTTAAAAAAAAAGTATTTTTTAATGTTGGACAAGATAATATTAATGAATTTGATCTACCAAGAAAAAAAGATTTCAAATGTGTTACCATCGTAATGCATTATCATTTTGAATACATAACACTTTTAGTTAGGCTCTTCTGCGTTTTAATTGCATTTTCGACTCGAAACAAAAATGAATCCTAATTCACTCAAGTGACAACTTTTATAACTGTAAAAAAAAACTATTGTCGGTTGTACCATTTGCCAAGAGCGACAACGACTTTAAGTTTCAAATTGATTTAAAACTGTAAAAGAAAATACCAATTTCATTTAGGTTAAACTTTGGGCCTTCAGTCAACTCCATGCTAGTCTTTTCACGTTCAATAACTTGCTTTTGCAATAGATCTGAAAATAAAATGGTTAAAAAAAGTTTATTTAAATAACAGTCTATTTACTAAAACTCACATTAACTTATTAATACAATTAATATCTTCTGTATTATAAAAAAAAACTATCATCTTCATTACATATAATAAAATAACGTTTCCTAGTAATCGTATTTAATTACTAATTCGTATTGTAGTTTAGTAAACTGAATGATTTTTAAAGCAAAAAAATAAAACAAAGTTCCATTTTGATTATTTAGAACATGTTATAACGCATAAGATGACTCCATAAAAGTTCTCTTTCTATATAGGATATGGCAGATATAAGTAAATTTGACATTTAAAACGTTAGAATCGGTAAACAATGATTTTTACAAATAATGTACATCAACAAATTCCTAATTTTAGAATGATTACATATTCTACGTATATCCGTTTACAATGTATATGTCTTACCATTTTTTACTTTTAGCCTCGTTTCTGTCAACTGGCATAAAACATGAGTTTCATCCGTATTGATATCTGTAAACCATTATTCTATGTTATTTAAACACCTTGGTTATGGCCGAATGTTTTAAAATCGTAAAATCGTTATAGGAATAAGTTATAACATATAAAATGCTGTTTTTTTTGTAAAAAAAAACCTACAGGTAAAATATATCACACACTAAATAATTTATGTAGTATTAAATACTTTTTATGATAAATGTAAAAAATGTTGACGTAATTTCCAAAATTTCAAAACCAGATAACTAAAATTAAAAAAAAAATAATTAGCTGATTCGATAAGTTTCCTGTATCATAATTCATACAAAACATTAACAACACATTAAAAATGCATGTTAATATTTACTTTGAAGTTCCTCATCATGTTCTCCCTGTATTATTCAAAAGATAAAAATAAAATAGGAACTTATCCAAAATGTTTGTTTTAAAGATTTATTTTCCTATTCATTAAAAGTGCTGCTAATCATACTATTATAATTCATTTTTTATTGTTTTTATTTACTTCACAAAATAAGTAGGTGGACATGTAAAAAGCCCCATAATGTAGAAAAGGAAGTTGTTAAAGTTAAATGTATTATATGGTTAAAATAATCAATGTGAAATTATTACACTTGAAATTAGCATTACTTCTTATCTAATATTCGCCCAGAAAATGTGTATTGAATTTTTTAATAAGTAGCCTAAATAAAGATTCATACCTTTTCTTTTTTGTAGTAATTTATAAACAAATCTGTAAAAAATTGGTTGATAATTATATATATATATATATATATATATATATATATATATATATATATATATATATATATATATATATATAATACCTAAATAAATATAATGTATTATATATAATATTATATATATATATATACCAAGTTTATAATAGTGTACCAAGATCATCTCACTAAGTTTATAATGGTGTATCAAGATCATCTCAGCATGTTAGTTTATAATGGTGTACCAAGATCATCTCACCAAATTTATAATGGTGTACCAATATCATCTTACCAAGTTTATAATGGTGTACCAAGATCATCTCACCAAGTTTATAATGGTGTACCAAGATCATCTCACCAAGTTTATAATGGTGCACCAAGATCATCTCACCAAGTTTATAATGGTGTACCAAGATCATCTCACCAAGTTTATAATGGTGTACCAAGGTCATCTCACCAAGTTTATAATGGTGTACCAAGATCATCTCACCAAGTTTATAATGGTGTACCAAGTTCATCTCACCAAGTTTATAATAGTGTACCAAGATCATCTCACCAAGTTTGTGGTTCTAAGACTACTCAAAACAAAGACAGCGCTAGAAGTAGCTCGCAACTTGATAGACATATTTACCTTGTTAATACTGATCAAACACTGGCGTTTCGGCCACTCCTAACACCAAAGTTTGAATTTTTAATTGAGCAAATAAATGCAAAGAATGTCGGAAGTTAAATTTGTGGATTTTAGTGACAAGACGGGGAGGAGGAGGAGGGGGGGGGGGTCTTGTCCACTCAGGCGCCCCAGTGAGTAATTTATGAAAACTTTGAGAGAATGTTTACATTTGAAAATAATTTTTAAAAACATAAAAGCCTGCACATAAAATGTAGGTTATACATCACGTCGGCAGTTCTTGTGTTAAATGTATCAGAAATGTAACTTTATACCGCCCGCCAAAGAAAAAAGCGATTTTTTAACAAGCGGGAAGGGGGGGGGGGGGGGGTAATTGACAGCGGCAATTATCTAAAACAATTCTTGGAATGTCAAGTTCATTTTTAAAAATTTCAAACAATTGTAACTAAATGATAATAGGCCTAAAATCTTTATTTTGTGTCAAAGGCTTAAATAATGTAGAGCTAGTGATTTTGTTTTTTCCTGTAAAAATCCCTAAAATAACCATGCAACAATTTTTATATTTATATATCAGCGGGTGTATAATGTTCAGGTGTGTAGGGCTAAAGGTCAGCGCGAAAACACTCAAAAGGGGGAGAGGTGGTTTGTTATTGAAACACGTGTAACGTAAAGTTGAGTAAAAGTAATATAATGTCACGTTGATTAGCCAATTTACCCTAAACTATATAGTCGCTACAAAATGACATTAAAAAGTTCGGTCTATAGCATCTTCAATAGAAAAAATAATTTCATGACTGCCTGCAATCTTCGACTCTTTATGACAAATAAAGAGTAACAAAACCTTTAAAATTGAGAGGCATGCGCGATCATTCTTTCAATAGGGCTGGTAAGTAGTCACCAACCAGTTCTACGGCTCAATAAAACCTGCATGAGCCATATAATTGGTTGGTGACCTACTTAGCAGCCCTATTAAGAAAAATTTAGATAGTGATAGCACATTCACATAACCACAGTAAATTTACACGCCGTAGATTTACGGATACCTTGGAAAAGTTGAAACTCCCGATTATTATTTAGACCTAGTAATAGATGTTACAGAAAATATCAAATCCTTATATAACATTATCAGTTAATAATATAGCAATGTACGCATTACATGTTAATGAATCAGTGATTTTGCAACTTGTTTTGAGAGGTCTACTAAATTTTTGTGGACGTCTGCAATTAGGGGGGGGGGGGGGGCAGGGCCTGCGCTACCTATAAGGCGAAGTAGGCCGTCGCCTAGGGCGCTGTCCGTAGAGGGCGCCAAAATGGGTTGGAAAAACAAATTGAAAGTGCAAATCGAAATTTTGAGATAAGGGGGGGGGGGTGCAAATCGAAAGTATGAGGGAGGAGGGGGGGTGTGCAAATCGAAAGTTTGTCCCCGGGGGCGCTACGCCTCTGATAATACGGGGGTACGAAAAAAAACTGCGGGGGGGGGGGAGGCGCTTTAATAAGTTTTGCCTAGGGCTTTAAATAACCTGGCGACAGCACTGGGGGGGGGGGGGTGATTTGTCGAAAGTGGACGCGTGTGGACGTCGGGGGGGGGGGGGAGGAGGGCGGGAGAAGGGGGGTAAAAAATTCTAGATTTATGGATGACCACTTGTTCAACTTCCGAAAGGATGAAGTGAAACATCACCAAGCGAACGATGGAAAATTTCGGGAACGACCGATTACAACACAGTGTGGCCTCCGGGTATCGCTTCTGTTTCTTTTTCACCTGTAATTTAAGTATCACCCCTGACCCCTTGAGCAGGGCGTCTAATCAGAGGACTCCATTGTATAATGTAGCCGCTGGGGAAACTTGAGGCGCTAAACCGTACACTACTGGGGTGCCGCTTCATCCCTATCCGATATTTGAAATATTCTAATGACAGCGACCTGTGCAAGCGTGTATTTTACTTCTTTCTAAAGTTTTATTCCGATCGGGTGAATGGTGTAGTGATTCGTGAAAAACAGCAGTGTACATTTCCGACGGGTTTTCTTTTATTTGATGTGCTATTGTCATTCAACACAATATATAGTTATTTTAAAATATTTTCTAACAATGTGTAGCACCGTATATACCTTACCTTTTATGCTTTCCATTTCATCAGCCACATGTGAAAGTTTAACCTGAGAATCCCTAAAGACTTGAATCGTGCAGGGGTACCAGTCAGCGTATGACAACAATGTTTCAAACAAAAACTTTGCAGCAGAAATGTTTCCTTCGATTTGGTTTCTAGCCCTGATTCGACACTTTGAAATAGAATAAATGTAATATTTTTTAAAATCTATAACGTTAATAGTAATAGATTGCGTTCAGTAAGTTTATCAAACCCGACCATTTGCTTAATCCAAAGATCCTCTCTAAGAAATGTTTAAACTTAACCTTATCTAAGTACGATTTTAGTATTACGTTAAATCAAGTATTATTAATATAAGTATCATGTTTATTTTGCATATATACCTTATCCTCCTCTGTAAGAACTTTTAGGTTGTACTTGTGAAAAACGTCAATGACATTGTAGATTTTCACAAAATTCTCAAAGAACTCTAGGAATTTTTGTTTTACAAACTTTATAAAGTTTTTATCATTTGTAACTTCGTCCATTTTCCTGTTGAAATGGTAAAAAGATGTTTTTACTTGCATTTAAAAACAAAAAGATATTAGCTTGCTGTTTTATCGTGTTTTAATTTCGTGTTTACGGAATATGACGTATCTGTAATCAGTGGCGTAGCGAGGTCGGGTGTCACCCGGTGCGGCACTTAATGGTGTCACCCCCCCAGAGGCGTTGCGACCCTTCCCGAGGACAAACTTTCAAGTTTTCGATTTGCACCCCCCCCCCCCCTTCAAACTTTCGATTGAAATGGAGATTTAAAAAACAATCTCGATGTTTTACACCAGAGTGAGTGCAATCTGGACCGTCTCTCTGTTCGGGCATAGGCTCGATGGCGATCAGAGTATTTAGTCTACTTTAAGTAAACATTCTAAATAAACAAATGTACATTTCCAAAATTTTTGTTTTATTACTAGATAGATCATTTAATTTTAAAAGGGCAGAAACGGTCACAAACCAAGAAGTAATATACTAATTTCAGTACATCTTCATTTAAGGAATTTTAAATACTCTGTTAAAATGTGCTCAATCCCGAAATTTGCAATAACTACGACCGTCATAATGAAATAAAATAGGGACGTCTAGAATATAAAATATTAATAAACTCAAACGAGATCTATCTTTGGCTTACCTTTTAATGTGCAGGTGTCGTTTTAAATTGAAGAAACCATGGATATGGGATTTTTAACCATTTAATATAGGAAGCTTTAAAACATAGACTTGTTAATTTTTAAAACTACTTCGTTAGAATTCTGTCAAAACTTTCAATAGAGACTAAACTAAATGCTATGTAAACTGTCAAGCATTAAGTAAAACAATCGTGACTACGCTTAGCGTAAATTTTTTTTTCTAGGAAAATAAAACCAGGATATTGGCTCTTTCATCTGATTGGAAGATATAAATAATCAGCCATGAATTTCCAAAGTAATTTGTTTAATAGGCTTGAAAAGTTTATGTAATCTTACTGAATCAAAAAAAAAAATCTTCTAAAAAATATGACAAGCGATAAAATAATAGTTTTTTTAAAAATTAAAGCTGTTTGGAAACTGTCGATTACACTCGTTTTCATATTTTCGTATTAAAAATAAGCAGTTGAAACTAATTGTACAAATATGTTTTATTAATCTTTGTGTCTAGATTTACAATGGAATGTGTTTACAAAGATAAATGATGAAAGCTTGTTTTATTGTAATAGCTTTTATTTTGAATCAAACCATTATAGATTCATTGCTAGGTTTTAAATTGTAATACATTTTAAAAGTATTTTGATAAATTAAAAGAATATATTTACAGAAAACTATATTATATTTTTAATTTTATACATTTACAAAATAAACGGTCACGTGTATCAATTTCTGATACTTTTTTTTTAAATAATGGGGAAACAATGCCCAATATCACACACCCTACAGGAACATAATGCCCAACATCACACACCCTACAGGAACATAATGCCCAACATCACACACCCTACAGGAACATAATGCCCAACATCACACACCCTACAGGAACATAATGCCCAACATCACACACCCTACAAGGAAATAATGCCCAACATCACACACCCTACAAGGAAATAATGCCCAACATCACACACCCTACAAGGACATAATGCCCAACATAACACACCCTACAAGGACATAATGCCCAACATCACACACCCTACAAGGACATAATGCCCAACATCACACACCCTACAAGGAAATAATGCCCAACATCACACACCCTACAAGGACATAATGCCCAACATAACACACCCTACAAGGAAATAATGCCCAACATCACACACCCTACAGGAACATAATGCCCAACATCACACACCCTACAAGGAAATAATGCCCAACATCACACACCCTACAAGGACATAATGCCCAACATCACACACCCTACAAGGACATAATGCCCAACATAACACACCCTACAAGGAAATAATGCCCAACATCACACACCCTACAGGAACATAATGCCCAACATCACACACCCTACAAGGAAATAATGCCCAACATAACACACCCTACAAGGAAATAATGCCCAACATCACACACCCTACAAGGACATAATGCCCAACATCACACACCCTACAAGGAAATAATGCCCAACATCACACACCCTACAAGGACATAATGCCCAACATCACACACCCTACAAGGACATAATGCCCAACATCACACACCCTACAAGGACATAATGCCCAACATCACACACCCTACAAGGAAATAATGCCCAACATCCTACACACTACAAGGAAATAATGCCCAACATCCTACACACTACAAGGAAATAATGCCCAACATCACACACCCTACAGGAACATAATGCCCAACATCACACACCCTACAGGAACATAATGCCCAACATAACACACCCTACAAGGACATAATGCCCAACATAACACACCCTACAAGAACATAATGCCCAACATCACACACCCTACAGGAACATAATGCCCAACATCACACACCCTACAGGAACATAATGCCCAACATCACACACCCTACAGGAACATAATGCCCAACATCACACACCCTACAAGGACATAATGCCCAACATCACACACCCTACAGGAACATAATGCCCAACATCACACACCCTACAGGAACATAATGCCCAACATCACACACCCTACAAGGACATAATGCCCAACATCACACACCCTACAGGAACATAATGCCCAACATCACACACCCTACAGGAACATAATGCCCAACATCACACACCCTACAAGGACATAATGCCCAACATCACACACCCTACAAGGACATAATGCCCAACATCACACACCCTACAAGGACATAATGCCCAACATCCTACACACTACAAGGAAATAATGCCCAACATCATAACCCTACAAGGACATAATGCCCAACATCACACACCCTACAGGAACATAATGCCCAACATCCTACACACTACAAGGAAATAATGCCCAACATCATACACCCTACAAGGACATAATGCCCAACATCACACACCCTACAGGAACATAATGCCCAACATCCTACACACTACAAGGAAATAATGCCCAACATCATACACCCTACAAGGACATAATGCCCAACATCACACACCCTACAGGAACATAATGCCCAACATCCTACACACTACAAGGAAATAATGCCCAACATCATACACCCTACAAGGACATAATGCCCAACATCACACACCCTACAGGAACATAATGCCCAACATCCTACACACTACAAGGAAATAATGCCCAACATCCTACACACTACAAGGACATAATGCCCAACATAACACACCCTACAAGAACATAATGCCCAACATCCTACACACTACAAGGACATAATGCCCAACATAACACACCCTACAAGAACATAATGCCCAACATAACACACCCTACAGGAACATAATGCCCAACATAACACACCCTACAGGAACATAATGCCCAACATCACACACCCTACAAGGACATAATGCCCAACATCACACACCCTACAAGGACATAATGCCCAACATAACACACCCTACAGGAACATAATGCCCAACATCACACACCCTACAAGGACTTAATCCCCAACATCACAAATCCTACAAGGAATGTGGGTCCTGGAATACTAGCAGCACTATAAAAGACGCTTATAAGTCACACATAGAAAAATAAGCAACAGTCTTACAAAAGGACAGCGGCTGGCCCTAGGATAACAATTACTTGTAATTCGAGTCTTTGTTAATAACATAATACATAATTTTAAAATTCAAATAAGACAAAGTATAGCTGATCCTTTAAAGAATAAATTCATATCAAAATTGAATTTCACCATGTATTTACAACAAGAATTTTTTAAAAATATTTTGTAGTGTTGAAGATTTAATGATATTATTTTAAACGGCTTTTATTATTAGGAAATAAGGAATGCATTCATATGCTCGGTTATCCCATCGTTTTTAGCGCAATTTCCATTCTGGAGATTATTAACTCGTCATTTCTGGGAATGGATGGATGTCCGCAGCTTTAAGTCGTATCTCCTCCTCAACGAAGCAATATCGAGGACTAGTTCCAAAAGCAAATATGTTAAGCAAGTTCCAAGAATGATTGTGAGCCAAAATAATTTCCGGAATTCCTTCCTGGATTTCCCGGAAAAGCCAAAAAACAAATGCAGTTTTTCCTCCATATCTCGACAACCAGACCACTTAGCGACTTGAAACATTTACCAATCGATTCCTGCCATAATTTAAACCAATATAGCAGAAGAAAGTTTTCAAAAATATCCTTTCGTTCGGTCACAATTTTTTTTTTCAAATTATTTAAACTGAGCATCTTGTAGGCCTAGGATGATATTTACTACTTGTTTAAAATGAGCATCGTGTAGGCTTTTTTCCCCATTTGATGCGTAGCTGGACGCGTTCTGCGGTACACGCTGCCATTGGCCAGACTCACGCAGATCTCGCGAGGGGGCGGGGACTAGCTCTGCTCGTGGTGAGAGAAACGAAAAGGGGTGCTCGCGTCTCACCACTAGATGAAGCGAAGCGGTGAAGTTCCAAACCAAGCACACCGGCTCAGGCAGTCGTTAGTGAGAGGTAACGTCTACTTGACGCATGTTAATTAAGGAAATTGCGCTTAAATTGTCACTAGACTTTTTATTAACTTGTATTATAAAAAGTGTCTAAGATAATATGATGAAGCTTAAAAATTGAATAATAATGAAATAATTTTTCAAACACTATTTTTTAAAGAAGTTTATCAATACTCCCAGGGGCAGTTGAGAGTGTCAAAAATGTTGTTAAAGACTGCAGGGCATTAGTCATCCTGCTGGTGCGTTGAACTGCTTTCTGCCTGCGCAAGCTCAAGGTCCGCTGAGGTTGTTTCTGTACCACAGCAGCCATCATGTTCAGAATGACGTGTTACTGCAGCTTTTGATGGCATGTACACATTACACGATTAGCAAACACGTTTGCTCGTCTCTTTAGTGAGAGTTGGGCAGAACAGATCAAAAGGAACTTCTGTTTTGTAAGCTGAAGCTGCTGCTGGTCTCAGGTTGGTGGCCAGTCTCTGCCACAGGGTAATAAACCTGTCAGTTGGCTGTACACAAGATGGTTCGGGAACTACTGGACCTTCAGCTGTGATTCTCATTGGATATGGAGCCGGCAAAAAGCGATTGGGAAATACTTCCATCCAAGATGTGCGAAATGCACCGCAACAGGACCGATTAGCACACTTGATGGTCTGCAATGTGTACTGGGAAATTCGACAATGTTGAGCAATCCAACATTCATCTACATTTTGATCTATGGCCAATGTTTCATTGTAAACAAATTCTGCATCGACAGGATAACCATCGAACTTGATGTTACTCCAGATATTAGCCAACATCTCTCTTGCGTTTTGGAAGTTGTTTTTTCTTCTAATTCTGGATCTACAGTTCTTCCAGAGGCATTTAAATGACTACCGAATGAATCATGTGGCAATATCAAGCCCGCCAGTTCCCTGCTCAGTGGGGCCATTCTTCTTTCCACATAATTGTAGGCAGACATTCCTGGCGCATGTGTCATAGCTATGTACACATCTAAATTGTACTTTTGGAACCTGTCTGCACCCACAACTAGTCTTTTAGGAAATCGTGGGTTCTCATCAGGTCCCCCATCCAATAAAGCAAGGACTATTGGCTTTATGTTTCCTTCATGGGTAGCTACCTCCTTAGAAGAATCAATGTGTAGCAAATGATCCACATCTCTCCCATGTGTAAACGCTAAGTTGTTGTCATGCTAAGCACTTCTGGTGGCTATATACGTTGGCCCAGAGTGTGTTATTTCAAGCTCAGAATGCTCTGATGGTGCTTTAATTGTGCAAGCTGTATAGACAGAGGGTGTAAGCTTGTATAGACAGAGGGTGTAAGCTTGTGTTTAGCAGCTATAACAAAGTCATGGTCTGGAAGTCTGACTTTGTATTCCAGACACATCAGCAGTGGGGCTTGTTTATTGGCTGCAGACAGATGGGGACTTTAGCCTTATCGTCAACTGACAGGACAAACACAGCCTGTGGCCCAAACATAGAGGAAATACTTTTTAGGTATTAATTTGTTGAAAATGAAAAGTTTTCATTTTCATACAACTTTTTGCTCACTGTTTTCCGGTCGCCGTAGCTTTACCGGTACTGTTTGGATATGTTTTTTGCTTTCAGTGGTGTCTAGCCTGCGGGGAATCAGTCTCAAATACAACGCTGACCTGCTTAGAGTGAAATCTAGATTTTTTTTAGCTCAGCTGCTAAGTCATCTAGAGTTAAACAGGCATGCAATACTTCCGTCCTTCGCCTTTTATCTGCAAGTAAGTCTCACCAATTAAAATATATTCAATCATTTAGCTGTTTATAAAGGGGAGACAACCAACAAATAATGAGTTTCGATAAGCCAAGTAGAGTTTCGGGAAATTTTAGGCAAAATATTTTTTCTTTCACACTACTAAACTAATATTAGATTTAATGTGTGGACGTCCACATAGGGCCAACCCCCCCTCCCCCCGGCCACACGCGTCCGCAAAAGTCAGTTTTTTCGGACCCCTCCCCCCCCCCTCGCGTGGACGTCATATATTTTTAGATACACACGTCGATGAATTACAATACAGCAAATTGTGCTATCCTCGGGAAAATCCCGGAACAATGTTTTAACTGACCAAGACCATATTTCCTTATATAAACATTGTACTGTTTTTGTAAAAAAATACAAATATCCGGATGTACAAACCCATTTATAGAAATGCGCGCGGAGGTCACTAAAAATAGGCGTTATCTTCGGGAAAACTTTGGAAGTCCTTTAGAAGTGACAGGTCCGAATTCCCTATATAAATATTGTTAATTTCGTGAAAAACGGTGGTTGTTCTCAAAACTGTTTAGGAACTTTGACTCTATATATCTGTCTCATTTTTTTTTCATAAACTTGGGTTACTGAATCGGCCTTATGTGAAACTATTGGTCAGCCTTTACTCGCACAGCGAAGGCTAAAAAGTGACCACGAGTGAAATTCTCCTTTTTTTGAGCTAAATTTCGAAAAAAAAACTTTTCCGAACTACCCCCTGATATTTTGTGAGGTCGTAGAAAAACGAGAGAAGTTAGAAAAAAACTCGACATAATTTCTGGAAAAGATCTGCACATTGGTCAAAACTAACCCGTCGTATTTCCGTATCGAATCATTGTAATTTATTCCCACGTTTTCTTTAACTTGCTTTCGCGTCTGTTTGTTTGGTTCTCCAATCAAATCTTGCGATCGATATTTCGGGCACTTCCCAGTTAGCTAGCGCGCTGAAATTTTCAGGGAAGCTTTGTTTCCGATGACCATAGAATATTCAATTGTTATTATTACTAAATTGATCCATGGAAAGATTTTATTGAGCATTTTAGACCGCTATATAATTGTAGTAAAAAAGTGGGGAAAAGGGGACATAACCCAGTAACTGTAATTTGATGAAAACAAGGTTCGGTACTCTCCCTCTTTGCTTACTGAGTAGTGTTCACGCGGTGTTTGTGTACAAACAACCGTAACAAATGGTGGCCAGAATGGGGGAGATGATATGGTCAAGTGGTTGGGCACACGATTGCTATCCCACTCGACACGGGTTCAAATCTATGTGTTCTAGTCAGTAACGTATTCAAACAACGTGTTTTTTACGAGTTGTCTTCGTTTACCCAAAAAAAAAGTGAAAAGATAAAATCGATAGCAAGATTTTAATGCAAACAAACAGACAAAGACTAAAAAGTAGAAAATAATAATCATTAAAAAAAGTTTAAAAAAACCCACGTTTTCTGATTGAACTAAAAAGTAGAAAATAATTGCTATACATCACAATAATGCAAGCGATCACTCTACTATAAGCGATCAAAAACATTTGTTCAAGTATCTTTTGTCCGTGACATGATTTATCCTGAGATCATTTGTCCTTGAGATATTTTGTCTGGGATATTTTGTCTAAGATCATTCTTAATGAGAAAAATTGTCCTGTGTCCTGTTACCATGGGTCGGCGTGGTCAAGTCGGTAAAGCTCATGGTTGCTAAACCGAAATGTCTCGAGTTCGAACCCTCGGGCAGATGAGGCTCGTTAGCTGGGGACAGCCACTTTTCTAGGAGAGACAACTCCAAAATCAAACAACTGCTGCCTTGTAGTTTGTTCTTGCTTGGACAAAGGCTATGGAAGCAAATCCAAAAAGAAAAGCAGGCTGAAATCGGAGTCATTGGCCTTAATGGCGCATAACCAGTTGACACGTAATCCTTAATAGTAGTGAAAGCATGGTCGAAAAAAGTCTCGAGTTCTAACCCTCTGGCAGATAAGGCTCGATCCCTCCCAACACTAAAAATTAAGTACGAAGAAGAAGAAGAGAAAAAGTCCAGTCACCGGTTAAATTTTATCCTCGCCCGTATGATCAAATTAAATCTCTTTGTACATTAAGATGGCCTACTGACTTCTTTGTAAAAGAAACAGCTATCAGTGTTAATCTTCAATAGTCCTCAAATGACGAATGATGAGCATAGTAATGCACCAATAGAAGAATTCGGGTAAATGATAATACCCACTATAAATAATACTTGTGTGATGCATATCTAATATATAAAGTTCAATGGAATGCGCTTTCTGTATGTGGAGGACGGAAATGTTTAGGGACGACTTTCTTATAGTACAAAACTCGACTTAATCGCCAATGTATAATATTTATAAAGTATTAATTTTTCTAATAAAATCTGAACTGATGTTTAGAGAACTTAATATTTATTGTCTCTAAACTGAATTTTCATTTTAAAACTTACCATTTAATTGACGTATTGTGCAAAGAACAAAAATCAAAATCAAATTAAATATATTACCCTTCACAAAAATTTTAATTTTGTCTGAAAAATAAAATGTTCAAATTACGTCCCTTTGACCAATTACTTCCCTTGATAGATGACTTTCAAAAAAACTTTCATGTTTATGTTTCCTATTAAGTTTGCGTTTATGCTTAAATTTGCGGTTAAAGCTTCGTGCATTATTTAATATTATATTTTAAATTATTTTTTTTAATTAATTTTTTTTCCATATTGTTACAACTTGTTACTTTTTTTTTTAAATTCATTTTTGCCCACTTGTTTTCGCACATCTTGAGGATGCACCGTGAACACATTATGTAGGCCCTAAAACGATAGCTTTTTAAGGAAATGAGATTAGCCAGCGTGTCAGTATTGATAAAATAGATCGACGCCATATTTATCCTGCAGCATTTGCGGTTTCTTATTGTTCAAAGAAGTTTCTTGTTAACAGCAGGTTAGTCAAGTTTTATTTTGTTTACAAACAAAGTCATGTTTCTGACATTAAATTCTTCACAGAACAGTGCAAGTTTTAATACATTGGCATATAATTGTAGAGCAGGTCTGGCGTGGGTTATAGTGCAAGTTTATCTCTTGACGTCCACCTAATAAAGGAAAAAAAAGTAACGTTCCCCTTTAAGACCTGACAATGCATAGGGAAGAAAAGCTAGAGTTTATTTGTTTTTTGTCGTCGGCATATAAAGGAATAGTGTGGTCACCTTATACCCATCCGAATTGATCTTCCATATAGTGAGGCAGGTGGACCGCAGGACGTCCTGTAGATTCAAGTCCGCACCGACATCCGAACACGAGACCTTCGCTCTAACACCTGACCACCCAGTACCCACCCTTAGAGGATGCTTGACAAATATATATTACATACTTTATGAACAAATACAAAAAGGTTTTTGAGAGAACAGAACTATGTGTTTGATCTCTGTACCCGCGAACTTTGAACCTCATACGCCATATCTGTCGGCTAAATTAAGTTCTTCGGGTTTTTCTGATAAAACTTGATACTATCTTGAGTGGGAATTTCGTTGGTTATAATTTTTTATCGGGAAAACCCAAACGTGATACTATTTTGAAAAATGCGCTGTTCTAAATCCCAGATAAAGTGTTGTGTGTAAATGTAAACCATTTATGTTGCACAAAATCTGATCAATTAGAACCATTTATTCATTTTAAAACTACTCTCATTCAAAGAATATAATTACTATACCAAAGAAATCAATTATATGCTCTTTTGTTAATGAACAAACGTTTATTTTGCTGCTATTAAATTTTAACTACAGACGATGTATTATGTGTACTAACTGAAAATAGTCTGTTATGTTTTGTGCTGGTTTATTGTTCTATTTTTATTGTGTTCTTTCTTTTGTGTATTGTGTATTGTGTTTTTCTTTTTTTTTAAATAATGTTTTTCTCTCTGATTATTTATCTGTTTTTTTTTGTTATTAAAAAGTACTTTTTAAATATTTACCATGTTAAGAATGTCCGTTCTTCTTCTTCTTCTTCGTTCTTAATTTTGGTATTGGAAGGAATTCCTTTCAACACAATTACGTTTTACTTGTCAAATTTTTATTCGCAATAAAGGCCACTAACTCCGATTTCAACCTGCTTTTCTTTTTGGATTTGCTTTAATAGAACAAACAACAGTTGTTTATTCTTGGAGTCGTCTGTATAATATATATATAATTCTGAAGTCCCATGGTTCAAAAACAAGCATATATATATATATATATATATATATATATATATATAATATATATATATATATATATATATATATATATATATATATATGTATATATATATATATATATATATATATATATATGTATGTATATATATATATATATATATATATATATATGTATGTATATATATATATATATATATATATATATATATATATATATATATATATATATATATATATATATATATATGTATATATGTATATATATATAATGTCCTCTCCCCCGAAAGTTTTAATTCCCCCCCCCCCCGTGAAAAAATGTATGACAGAATCCCTGCTTGAGATTGGGGGTGGGGGGGGGGGGGTTTGGGGGATTATCCAGTGGATACGCCATAAGGGGAATATTTTATAGATTCAGCCATACATTCATTTGAGGATTATGATATTATTAGTAGCTACTTTTCTTTATTTATTACTTCGTTATCATTAAAAGTTTTTTAAGATTAATGTTATCACAAACTACCATTTGATTTGCAGAAGAAAGCAAATACAGTATAAGCTGGATTTCGTTCAATCTCCATTATTTGTAGCGTGCAAGAAAGTGTCAGTTTATTTTAAAGAATTATCTCAATGGATTCATATAACTACCTCATGGATAAAGTAGGCAAGTAAACAATACATACCATTTTCGTCAGCACAATTTATGGATCCAATAAAGACATTTGTAACGTTTTTCAATTTATATTTAATCAGATGGTGATGAGGATTTCATAGTTGTTGTAGACAACATGAACGACATAAAAAATGCAATCCAAGAAAAATTTTGTGCAGAAATTGATCCAGAAATCTTTTTACCAGTGCTGAAAAAATACAATGTTGCCATTTCTCAGCAAGATGAGGTAAATAATAAAAAAAAAACACTATTAGAATAATTAGAATCATCTAGAAGGGTGATGCTTAAGATTTTGAACTTCATTATTTTTTAAGCTGACCTAAACAACTAAAAACTACATTCATTTGTCTTTATTTCATACCTATTTTTATTGCCAAAATTAATCGGTAGAATTGAAATGAATTTTTAAAAAGAATAACGCGTTTTTTAAAAAAAAACAATGGCTACAATGTTATGACTGATACAGTGGGTTAGTTTTTAAGGAGTGTTGTGAGGCGATTGACCTTCAGTAGAAATGTGTCGTGTGCCAGATTTCTTACCATTCAAATACACGGCGGGCAAAATGGGCGGGCTTAGTTTGCTGTTGTTATATCAAGTTAAATTTGTATTTTATATATTTTATTTTTATTATTATTTTTTACCCTAATGGGTTTTTCAATTAATGAAATTAATAAGTATTAAATACAATAGTTTTAATGTATTTCTCATCTTATGTCCTGCTCGATATTCTCAGCTGTTAGGCCAAACTGATACCGCTTGCTGATTTATTTAAAGGTACCTCACACAGAAGTGGGGTTTAACAGCGATCTTAATAAATAACTTGACAGTGCTTGGTTTATGCATACTTTGCACTTGAATACGGATATTAATTTTATTTATTTTCCCCCTAGATCACAGCAACTCGCGATGGGCCTAGATGTTATAAGTGGGATTAGCATAGGATAGAGGACTGGGATAATATATCGTTTAATTTTTAATTGTATTTATGTCCTTACTATTATATGGCTTAACTGTAGGTTAGATCCTTAGTGTGTTTTTACTGTACGTCCACTCACTAGATACAAGCTTTTAGATTGTAATTACGGATGACAGCCATGTTGACCTGTGTGACCGTGGTGGAGACAGTATGGCGACAGATTTGGGTGAAAACCTAGGAAGTTATCAGCAGGGTCTGGCATTTTAATTAGGTACCACAGAGCTGTGGGGACATACACATTAAGTTAGGCTTGGTGGTGGAAGACAAAGAAGCTAGAAACAGTGAGGGTTAGGGAACAGTTGAACGTTAGCCTAGCTAGGTTGTATACGTGTATCGTTTTGTACAGTGTGGTAGGACTGGCTCCTAGTGCTGAACGCTATTGATGATCGAGTTTATCTCCTATTTTAACCAAAACCAAAAGTATCAACCATTAAAGTTTATGAGCTAAAATTGTGTTGGTGCCTTCTTTAACCTCTCACTGTAGTCATCAGCACCAACCATACAGATGACTTCATAACACTGCTGTTCATTTTGTTTTAAAATTTGCCAACAGGAAGACATACTTCATGAAACACGGAACAAGGGCAAAAGTCATGGTGCCATGGCTATACTTGACCGTTTAGTGACGTCATATGATGACCTTAAATGTCTGATACAAGTTCTCAGTGATGACGTAATTAATCTCAAGGAAATGGCGGACATACTTATAAACATAACTGGTAATGCTATTCATTATCTTAATATTCGTTAAAATGAAACAACATTTGATACAGAAGAGTTTTGAGGAAACTGTGGTTTTATAGACCACAATGTATATATATATATATATATATATATATATATATATATATATATATATATATATATATATATATATATATATATATATATATCAATATATAGAGACAACATTTAATAACAATATTTTTATATGGATACAATACATAGAATTTAAACAGACTTCACTATTTATTTTCTTACTTGACTCCTCCCCACATTCTCTTCATGTTTCCTTATAGCTACTGAAAAATCTTGATTCATCCATAATCTCTAATTGAGAGATGTGTGTCAGGCCATAAAAACTAAATCTATTTGCAAAGTAAAAAAGAGACATTGGATAGTGATTTAAATGATGACATATGTATTAGAGATTTTGTCTAAGTTAACATGACAATGATAATGTAGATGAACACATAAGAAAGCTGAGTAAAATGAGGAACAGATCAGCGCAATTTTGCCGCTACCTATTACCCCATGGGTACAAGGACACACAGTGGCGGAACTAGAAAAAAGGGGCCACCCCGCAAAAAATTGTTTAGGCCCCCCCATATAAATATATAGGCCTATATATGTATGTATATATATATATATATATATATATATATATATATATATATATATATATATATGTATATATATATATATATATATGTAAATATATATGTATATATATATATATATATATGAATATATATATATATATGAATATATATATGTATATATATATGTATATATATATATGTATATTTATATGTATATATATATATGTATATATATATATATATATATATATATATATATATATATATATATACATATTCATACACAAAATACGATCATAGGATAATTATTGCTGGCCTGTTCGTGTTTAGAGAAATACGTGGGTTTTTTTTTTATTAAACAAATTACGACATCATGTCATGTATGTAGTGCATTAGTCTGTTTTGTGAAAATCAGTTTTATATTAAGTCTGCCGTAAGACCTCTATCACAGGGGTCGGCAACCTTTTGAAGCGGAAGAGCCAAAAGTTACAATTTTCAAAATTTCCCTGGTCTTAAAGAGCCTCTAACATTTTTTTTATTTCAAATATATTATTTTTTTTTATTAAGATTATTAGTATTTGTGCAAGGAGCTGAAGAGCCGCATCTTGACATCAAAAGAGCCGCATGCGACTACGCAGGTTGCCGACCCCTGCTCTATCATCATAACGGTCAAAAGAATATAAAACATGAAAGCTTTCTGTAAATAATGGTGTCACGTGTCGTGTTTATTTTTATGTTTTTTTGTATTTATTTTATTAATTTTAAATACATTTTCTTTTTATACAGTGTCATTCTTTAGTAAGTAATTTATAAACAAATAACAGTAAAGAGATGTAATTGCTTTTTGATTTGTTTAGTACAAATCTATTAAAAAGAGGCTTATGAGCATCACTATTTGACTATTTAAAAAAGGGAAATAAGTCATGGACGTGGTTTGAAAGTTTGCTTATTTTTGATAAGTTTGATTGTAGGCGAAAGAGGACTGGCTTTCACAGTGGTTTAAAAACGAAGGAAAAATGAGCGTGGGGTGGTGTCTATAGAATAAAGATAATCCGACCGCAGCTACGGTAATCTTTTTTACAAAACAAACATTAAGCCAAAAATGCAAGCAATTATTTTTTAACTACAACAACTTTTTTATGGTCGGCCGTGGGCCCCTAATTGGCGTGGGCCCCCCCCCCCGCATTGCGGGGTCTGGCGGCACTGTAGTTCCGCCCCTGAGGACACAACATAGTTTTTAATGTTTATTTTGTATTTTTATATTAATCAATGTGCAAAAAAATGCTATTATTTACATAGTACGAATTAGGTCCTCCATTTTTAAAATCCATGTTAGGTTTCTGATTTGAATATCTCTTCTACCATGACTGTTAAACTTTTATTATGGCTTGTCTAAATAATGATCCATCTTATGTATTGTGTCGTCTTATAACATATTTTTCACCCATAGTGTTGACAGCTATTTTAAACGTAATTTGAACAATATCTTGTTTTAATTATGGGAACAATTTGGGCTAAATCTAGAGAGAGTAAAGAAAAAGTTTTGTATTCATAGAATGTAAAATTGATGTCCCACCTCTCACCCCACAACTCGTTTCCTAATAAATAGAAAATTGTTAAAATATTTCTTTAAAATTTATTTTGCTATAAAATATTGTTTAATATGTTTATGTTTTTATCTTTTAAAACTAAGGCAAAAAAAAAACTTATTTTCCACACTTATTACATGTGCTTTTAAATTTGCAGGTCAAGATAATGTTTACCGAATTCCTGAAAGCAGTGTACTGTCAATTTCTGCTTTTCAGGTAAAAAAAAGAATTTTCTTATGCTATTAAAAATCGACAGTTATTTTGTGTATATATTTATGACTTTATTCGTCCCCTTGCTAATTACTATTTTTTTTTGTTTTATGATTGTACACGTTGATACGATTAAAAATATATATTCATTTTAGTTTATGAAAATTATTGTTCAGGACAACTTAACACTCATTTATTTTGTTAAAATATTGATAATTAGTTAATATGATGGAATTCGTAATAATGTTTTCTTACAAAGAGGTTTTAATATAAATAAAAAACGCATTTAATTTTTTCCCACAGTCAACAGCTGGCAACGACAATGGTATCGATTTATTGCTTCTAGGTAAAACCGGAAACGGTAAAAGTAGAACAGGAAATACTATTCTTGGCAGCGCAGTTTTTAAAGCAGGCGCCAGCATGGAATCAGTGTCACAAATCGTTGAGTCTGGAACCGCTTTGTTCAATGGCCGTGTGATTAAAGTTGTTGACGGGCCAGGTATAGGCGATACTCACAGCATGAATGATCTAGAACAAGAAACTTGTCTTGTACTGGACAGCTACAAACATGCATTTACTCTCAACTCCAAAGGTTATCATGCGTTTCTTCTTGTTGTCAAGTTTGGTCAGAGATATACTAAAGAAGATGTCGAATGTGTTAGAATTCTGAAACATGTATTTGGTGAAGACTTTGTTAAGAAATTCGGTATTGTAATAGTTACGTGTGGGGACAATTTCAAAACAGAATATGAATCTACAGCAACAACATTCAAAACCTGGTGCAGTGAGCAGGGTGGGGTGTTCAGAGAATTGATGAATGAATGCGACAACCGAGTTGTTCTCTTTGATAACGCAGTCAAAGATGAAGTGGAACGTTGTAAGCAAGTCCAGGCTCTGATTGATGTTGTGGACAAACTCAAGTCGGGTGGGCGACGTTACAGCTTCTCTAACTTTGAGAAATTTGAGGAATCCAGAAAACTTATTCTTCTTCAGGCTAAAGCGCCAATTATACGAGATGAAACATTGAATAAATTGAAACTGATTACGCAAAAAATTGGCAACTTGGCAAAGTGTGCATCTTTGAATGACCAGTTGAATTTAATCCAAAATCTTATGAAGGAAACTGAAACTATTCTCTCTGAAGTTTTAGAAGTTGACAGAGAAACACATGTTCTCGCAGATCTAATCAGGCAAGTTGAAGATGTTCGGGCACAGCTTAAAGGCACTGCCAAGAGTATCAAACTTGTACAGAAGGAACAGAATAAGAATGAAGAAGCGCGCATTAAACATCGTGAGGAAATCCAACAGCTGGAAAAAACGTTGAAAATGTTATCTCTAAACAAACAAGCACTGGATGACAATTTTAAAGAACAAAAAAATAACATAAAAGAAGAGTATCAAAGTTTAGAAAGGAAATTACGCCAAGAGTACGAATTAAAGGTTGAGAAACAAAGTTCGGTTACCAATAATTTATTAGCTAAATATGAGACACAGCTTCAAGAAATCAGAAGAGGTAAGAAAAATAGAAGCGAGAATGATATAACAGAAATAGAAGGTAGACTACTTGGTGATATGAAAGCAATTAAAACAGAACATGAAGGTATACAGGGCCAAATAAAACTTGAACACAAGAAGTTTGAAAACGACAACAAGATTTTACATGAAAGAAAACTTAGTGAATTGCAAACAGCACATCAAGCTGACTTGAATGCATTAAAACAACAGGAAAGTGATGTTAAAAACGATATGAAATCATGTACACAAGTTATTGCTGACCTTGAAGAACAAAGGAAAAAAATATTCACTGAATTTGAAAAATCACGTAACGACAGCAAGTGTCAATTAATTGAAATGGAAAAAGAATTTCAGAAATCAAAAGCCGAAAATGCAAGACTTCTTATGGAACTTCAAGTTTCTAAAGATGAAAGCTATACCAGTATAGAGGCTAAGTTAAAACGTTTAAAACAGCAAAAGGAGAGAGATCCAAAATCCGTTAATGAGAAGGAAATCAAGAAATTGAAACAGGAAATTGAAGACCTGAAAAATGAATACTTTCCTTCACTTTGTTTAATTCTTTAAGGCTAGGTGCTTCACCAAATGCACTTTTTCGTTATTAATCAAGCTAATCCATTAAATCTTTACCCATATAATATATACTGAAAGTTATTTTTAAAAAAAGGTATAAGAATCTATTTTATCATATGGTTGCCATGGTAACGGCCGCCATATTGGATTTTTGTTTATCATTTTCAAAATGCTAAGGCTCTATAACCACAAGTGCTAATTACAACAAAATGCATGCATTATATAGGGCTATTTAAGCTTATTAAGTTCTGTTTCACATTTTAAGTAAAGCCAAGCTAACTATTTTATCTTAAAAAAATTCTATCAAACTGATAAAAAACGCTAAAACGTGCACAAATGTAGCTTATTTCTGGCTTTAAAATAAAAATAAAGCACGTTTTGATAGAAATTGAACTTAGAAGTTATGTGTATGTATCTGTAGAATAATAAGGTAAAGTTTCAGTAAGATACAAGTAGAACTAACTGAGGAGTAGCAATTTGAAGTGTAAAATTTGTAATTTTGAGAAAAACGCGAAAGAAGTAAAAAAAAAATAATTAAAAAAAACTACCCAATAAATACAAAATACAAATCACTATTTTCTAGTAATAACTAATAGGTTTTTATGTTTAGAAATGAATGTATTTTAAAAATTAGGTCAAAACTGAAATTCTACATCAGGCACCCGATACACTTAAATTTGGTACCGCACCTAGCGCAATAGTGATTCTAATATATTCACATCAATGGTATTCAAAATAACAGTCATAAAAAAAACCCAACTATAATGGAAAAGGATTCAAACGAATGGAGGCGAGTGTGTTAACGAGAATACTTCCATCATGGCGGAACTAGAAAAAAAAGCCCCCCCCCCTCCCCGCAGAATTTTTTTTGGGCCCCTATATATATATATATATATATATATATATATATATATATATATATATATATATATATATATATATATATATATATATATATATATATATATATATATGGAAAACAAGGGGCTCTCTAGATGTTGTTTTTTTTTTAAATTTCCAATTGCTACACGAATAAATCAGAGGTTTACCAACACACGAGCTGGCCCCATTCAGTTTTCGAAGTGAGAAACACTGACTCTCATAGTTCAACACACCAAACTGACGCCGATTTTACGAGGCTTTCATCAAAACGTTATCAACCGAGTATTTTTAGACACATGTGCCCTGTTTTCCGGAAGTTGAATTAAATGTTAACAATGTCGGCAGTTCATTTCTTGGATCTTAGGGCACGGGTTTGTCCACACTACCAACAAGACACGCCAAGGCATGCGTAAGTCCCTCGGCGACGGCCCAGGTGTCAGGGTAGTCACGGGGCTCTTGGGAGCTACCGGTTACATTACTGCACGGTTGATAGGCGCGACACATTGTTTCATCCGGCAGAGCCCTCCCCTCCCCAAAAACAGTCTACCTCCCCCCCCCTCCCCCCCCCCCCTCGAACGAAATGCAAATTTATATAGAAAATATATACTTTTACCAATGTCTGACCCCCCACCCCCCACCCACGAAAATATCAAGTGCACGCCCCCCCCCCCCCCAGAAAAAAGTCTGGAAGAAATATTGGTGCACCACTTAATTAGATTTAGTCATCGAGTGTTGTAGCGAGACCTATTTCTAGTGTTGTGGGAACTTTTAAAGGACTGTCTGTGGGGGCCAACCTGATCATATGTGATGCGCTCAGGATGACACTATCGCCGGTGGTTTCAAGTAGTAACCTCATCCGCTTATGCAAGATCTCGGGGCGCTAAATCACACATTTCAGTTAGGAGTCCCCACTCAAATATGTAAACAAATGTTAGGCCTATGACAGAAACCTTTGTGGGGCTGTACTCAACAGCTTCCCAAGTTTTCATGGCGATTGGGTGAATGAAGCAGTAATGCATAATAATAGACAGAAAACTGCTTTTCACATGTACAACTGTATGTGGACAGCTCACGCGTCGGATAACTTTCTGATTTGGGGGGGGGGGGGGGGGGGAGGGAAATCCACAAGTGACGTCACATTTTTTAACGACTAACAAATAGCCAGACCCTCACACCCCCCCCCCCCCCCCCCCGACCTCAATGACGTCATTTATAAATAGTAATTGACTATTAATAATGTTCAATTAAATCTAAACGTTCTAATTAATTTCTAAATAATTATATAAAAAATAATCTTACCTGCCCTGTTTTGTGAATAAGATGCACATAATAGCCTAATACTATGCAAGTAAATCAATATCTGTTGACTAGTGCTGACTAGTGTCTGACAAAATGTGCTGAAGTGGTGAATCGTACGGTTAGGAAGTAGTTCATAAACGATACATTGATCTACTCGATACTTGCGAGGCTAAAAAAGAGGGATGGGATGGGGTCGGCTCAGGAAAAAACTTGAAAGAGAGAACAAAACGCCTATGAACGTCAGCATCGCCCATTGCAAAACTTACTCAGGGGAGATAATTCAAAGTATAGGCCCTAAAAGTTCACTATGATATTTCTTGCAAAAGCAAAACAAGTAAACGTATATAAAACCGAAGTTTCTAGTATTATATTATTTTTTATTATTTGTAGGATACAAGATAGTACAGGATACAAATTCAACCACTATCACAAACACATATTAACATTGAAATATGTACAATTGATTTCTAATTTTCTACGAGATTTTATTCTATTTTTAAAAGTTTAAGTATTTATAATGGATTAAAAATAATGTCTATATCCCGAGTTGCCATCCCCTGTTGTTTCATATAAGAAAATTCGAGAAAGTTTAGGGGAGATCACTCCCGGTTTATTTAACTAATGAACGAAATCTTTCGAAGGGTGAAAAAAACTATAAAAAAATTGGCCGTAACCAAACCACTATAAAAACTCAAAGGGGGCGTAATGGTTACTAGATCAAGATACCGATCGCCCAGTCGCAAGCAGCTTGTGGATTTAAACCACGGTAACCTCTTTAGCTGACAAGAAACTCATCGCTAAGATAATTGGCAGTTAAACAAGCCCGAGCAGATTACAAGGCAAGCGTCTGGCTTAAGGAGACAGATGTCCCGTTTAGAGCCACAAATGAATCTTCAACAGCAAATTAGTTGTTGAAAACGCATAACGCCCGCCTCGGATCAAATCATTTCAACACGGTCGACGTTATTTATTATAGAAACGGACGTTTAGGGAAGCATGGTTAATCGCTATTGTTCTCATGTAAATGGTAAGATAAAAATATCAGGATTACACGGGCGTACAGGAGAAAGTTTAATTATTTTCTTGACCGAATTATAGTTATTTTAAAGGCTGACACGACACTAAGTACAAACGGTGACGTTTACACATTAAATGGTAAGATTCACACAAACAATGGAAAATTGACAGAAAAATCGCAAAAAATACAAACTATTATACATACACTCATTCATATTTTACTATAGTCGTTATAATCGAGGAGCTATAAAGCAGCATATAAAAGATGTTAAATGTATGATGCACCAAAATTTTCAAAAAATTCATAAAAAAACGTTTTAATAACAAGCTTTTATGTAATGATGCACTAAAAAGTAGAAAATAAATTATAGACTACTATTTAAATAACTATAAAGAAAAGCGTGGGTGTCTTCCTTAACATTAGTAAAGGTATCCAATAGATACTAAAGTGACCCACGCTTTTCTTTATAGTTATTTAAATAGTAGTCTATAATTTATTTTCTACTTTTTAGTGCATCATTACATAAAAGCTTGTTATTAAAACGTTTTTTATGAATTTTTTTTCAGTACTTTACATGTTTTATCTACAATAGAGTTACATGACTAAAAACCATTGCGCGCCTACTGAATATCACGTTCAGTAGGCGCGCAATGGTTTTTGAACGCAGCCATTACGTGGTCGTGATGGCGCAGCTATTGATGACGCGTGTGGTGTGGTTGGCTAGACATGCCTACTAATTCGGTCCAAATTTTAATTAATTCATAAAAAATCAATTAGGCATCCAATTAAGTCAAATTTAGTTTCAGATTGTATTGTCTTCATGTCTTGACCCACGTGCCAACTGTGAATCGTATCGGTCAAGTAGAACTGTCCGAATTTTCACTCCTGCGTTTCTATCTAGACTGACGACAGACAGAATGACGAGGAAGTGAGTTAAATAAAAGCTTGTAATAAATAATTTGACTCAAAGAAAGTTTATGCTAAAGAAGAGCTGTAGGTTTTCAGCATTTGGGCCTTTCTTGCTAAAAATAAGCAAAGAGGTGCATAACATATTTATCCATGGCTGGAACTACCAGATTGTCATTGTGACTTCTTCTTCTTCTTCGTTCTTAATTTTTACTGTTGGGAGGGATCGAGCCTTATCTGCAAGAGGGTTTGAACTCGAGAATTTTTTCGAATTTATCAACCTGAGCTTTGCCGACTCGACCATGCTTCCATCACAATTAAGGATTACGTGTCAACTGGTTATGCGCCATTGAGGCCATTGACTCCGATTTCAGCCTGCTTTTCCTTTTGGATTCGCTTCCATAGCCTTTGTCCAACCAAGAACAAATTACAAGGCAGCAGTTGTTTGATTTTTAGAAGAGCGGCTGAACCCAGCTAACGAGCCTCATCTGCCCGAGGGTTCGAACTCGAGACTTTTCGGTTTAGCAACCATGAGCTTTACCGACTCGACCACGCTGATTTTACAATTTTTAAACGTCAGACCCAGTGCCGGCACCAGGTTATTTAGCGCCCTACGCAAAACTTATTAAAAGCGCCCCCCCCCCCCCCCGCAATATTTATCGTGCTCCATTATTATCAAAGGCGTAGCGGCCCTTCCCGGCCCTTCCAGACAAACTTTCGATTTGCACCCCCCCCTCACATTTTGGCGCCCCATACGGACAGCGCCCTAGGCGACCACCCTGTTCGCCTTATAGGTAGCGCCGGTCGTAGTCAGACCCAATAAGAAGTAAGTTAAAATGTTTTTGTAAAAATTGTATTAATTTAAATGCTAAAGCTTAAACTTATGCGTTGTAATGTAATAGAACTGTATGTAAAATTTTAAATACTTTACGTAAGTTTTCAAACAAAAAATTACATTAGATTAAGATTATGTATAAAAAAATATAAGTAGAACAATTTTTAGAAAAATGTTGCTTTATATATACGCCACAAATTATATGCTGTATTATAATTGTTGAATCATAATTACCACTGTAAAATTTAACTTGTGTAAGTCTAATAGTTATTTATGAATAATTTTGGTTCTCTCCCTTTGTCTGTTTACCCCTTCTCCTTTACTTTTTCTAATGCTAGTTGTTGTGCTCAAGTACTTGAATTGCAATCGAAAACGACATAATATCGTCTTTGGAAAAATAATTGAATGATGCATTTTGGGCAAAATGTTTTCTATTACAGCTACCCTACTACAGTGGCAAGTTTTTGTTGTAAACCTTTAAAAAAATGACCTAATAGAAAGCAAAATTTGCAAATAATTTAACATTTAGATTTCCAAACACTTGTGTCACCGTGCCTCTTTTAAGAAACCCCAAAAAACGCAGACAACTTGGCAGAAAATGTATATATAAATAAATAAATAAATAAATAAATAAATAAATATATATATATATATATATATATATATATATATATATATATATATATATATATGATAATACTCTTATTAATTAATTTATCAAAGGAGCTATTAGTTCGCTATCGTGCAATTTACATTTTTTTAACCAACGAAATAAATCGCCATGAAAAACTCAACATGGGAAATAATTACAACTAAATGATATATAATTCCGAGAACATATGAAACAAAAACAGCAAAAAGTTGTGATAGTAATCGATGTTACGACCATCATGAATGATAAGGGAAGCAAATATTTCAGACATTGACTCCGTAATTATGCGACATTGTGTTTGTAAAAAAAAAAAAAAAAAACGATATATGGCCATAAAAAATTGTCTAAATAATTTCTTTTAAAATAAAACAACTCTTACAATAGATTTATATAGGTTTATTGAAATATTAAAAAACATTTTTGCTCAACTCAATGGTAGTAAATATAGCAATAATTTACAATTTTATTATAATGTTGCTGGTTTATTTAAGTTAAAGCATGACTGAATTTTAAAAGATAATGTTTTGCAACATTATAAAGTTTTATCGAAATTGTGTTAAACATGATTATAATAAGTAAATTTTGCATTCATTAAATTGGTGATTGAACACATAGATATTGCTGATTAAGGGAGATTAAAGATTTAACTCCCATACTAAGATCTAGTATTCACATGTTATTATTGGAGTTTGAAATTTGTGTGTGTTTTAAATATATGGAATACGCTAGTGACTCTAGTCATTTGTTGGTTAGCTCAGGGCCTAAACTTTTGTTTTAACCTTTGGTTTATTATAATGCGAAATTATTATAATTCAAATTTACCTACTTGGAATGTTAAAACAGTTAAAATAAACTATGAAGGGAAGCGGGGGACTCATATTAATATCTATGTAATTTTAGATATAACTTATGCATTATATCAACGATACAAAATATTCCTCAAAATATATACATAATAATGTTATCATTTGTGTTATATCGCCAGACAGCGGTATAAAAATACAAACGAATGGTAAAAATAATCCTTAAACATATCACTTATTAGTAGCTGGTAAAAGATAGATGACTTCTACAACAGGCCCTACAGGGTTAACATTATTTTTTATAAATTCATTCACGACCTCATGTCATGCATGCTATACATAATAAAAATACATGTAGTAAATACAGCAAAAACATATGTGTAAATATATAATATGTTGGTGTATAAAATAGATGTATAATGTTTGAGAGACGTGTGTGTACACGTAGGTAGATGTGTACAAGATGGATGTTGATTTTGTTTTAGTTATGTTCGTGTGACGACGCCTATACAGAGACTTGAAAATATCCACGGCTATACAGAGACGAGACCATCCACGGCTATACAGAGACTTGAGAACATCGACGGCTGTTCGGAGACTTGAGAACATCCAGGGGAATACAGAGACTTGAGAACTTCCACGGCTATACAGAGACTTGAGAACATCCACAACTATACAGATACTTGAGAACATCCACGGCTATACAGCGACTTGAGAACATCCACGGCTATACAGAGACTTGAGAACATCCACGGCTATACAGAGACTTGAGAACTTCCACGGCGATGTGACACAATGTGACATCAAACTGGAGTCTCTCATCGCTCTGGTCTAACCTGTCCAACATAATGGTTGAAATAATTCATGTTAATAATTATTATAAATGCATGTTAGCATTTCGTTTATTTTTGTAATGTAAGTAGTAGTAAGTAGTAAGTAGTAATGTAAAGTTCCCTTTCAGAACTGACGATCTTTGGGGCAAGTGTAGTAGAGTTCACCTGTTGCCATGAGTTATGCTATTGTAGGGATAATGTCGTCAGCACTATGCCCAGCCTCCTTCACTTTCCCTATCGTGAGTCAGGTACCCATCAGAGCTGGGTGGACTTAACCAGATTAAATATTTATTTTAATAATTGTCTTTTAATCAACCTCCCCCTTTACGACGAGTGCGTCTATTTCTCCCCCCCCCCTTTCGACCTTCGTTGCAAAAAAATGTATGAAAGAAACCCTGTTAAACGACTACTACCAGGTCAGTATCTAATCAACAGATGATCCCGTCCAACCGATTATCATCAATTATGTTTCTGTGCTCATCACGACAAGCTTCATTAAAATGTAATACAAAAGATTACAAAAAAACTAATTTACCTATCGTGTGAATATAATCCATGCTATTCCTACGGTCACCAGCAGAGCAAGGAGAAACAAACTGGCTTTTTGATTCACGTTCGCCGCGGGTTTTTTCGCCTTCCAAGTGACTTCAGTAACTCTGGAATCATCAACTGAAAAAAAAATTGTATTTGGTTAGATTAGCATTCAAATTATTTTTTTTTTCTAAAAAAAATTATTGTTGTTTTGAGAAAAAAAAGTAGAACTACTAATGGAGTTTGAAAAAAAAAGAACTAATAATAGAGTTTGAAAAAAGGAGAACTAATAATAGAGTTTGAAAAAAGTAGAACTAATAATTGAGTTTGAAAAAGTAGAACTAATAATTGAGTTTGAAAAAAGTAGAACTAATAATTGAGTTTTTAAAAAAAGTAGACTAATAATGGAGTTTTAAAAAAAAGGAAATATAATTAAGGAGCTTAAAAAAGTAGAGATAATAATAGAGCTTGAAAAAAAAGGTGAAAAATAAAAATTCCTCTAAAAAAGTAGCATTTACTTTTTAACATAAAAAGTTTTTGCGGCTTGAAAGCTTAAAGCTGAGATTTCACTTTAAAGAAAACCAAGGTATTTTTTGTTGGAACTTGTATAACCGCCCAAATGTGTACGAGTAAGTAAAGAAACAATTGAAGAAAAAATGGGTCTAAACCCGATGAAAAGAAGATGTTCGTTAAAAAGGTGAGATATGGCTGATGAATTCTTTTAACACTAGAACAAGCTTAGGAATTTACAGTTGAGATTAAAATGGTATACCTTACAGAAGAAACAAAGTACAGTTTCGAACCTTACAGTTCATGGGTCAGAGGTCACCCATTTCAGTGACCTCGACATTTGAAGGGATGGTGTGGTTTAAACAAATGTGAGTCAGGTACTTATCACAGCTGAGTGGACTCAGGGACTTCACTCGGACTCGATCCTGGGATCCGAACTCGAGACTTAAGGGTTAGCAGTCTTTTAAAATATGTTTGTATCTCATCATCTTTCCCCGTTTGTGCCCAAGAAACATGGGGAAGATGAAGTAGAGTTTATCTACTTCAGACACCTCGGGATCTATTGGATAGTGTGGTCAGCACTGTGCCCAGCTGCCTTTTTTTTTCAGAAAAGTGAGTTAGGTACCCATCAGAGCTGGGTGTACTCAAGGACATTCTACCACTACATTCTAGCTCTCTACCGCTAGGCAACGCTGTCCCATTATGATTAATTACATTATAAATATGTCTAAATCAACAAGAAAAAGTACGTTTCCTCTTACGATGTCTGGTTATAGAAAAGTCTTCCAGATCTCCTTCCACGTTGGTGTTTACGGAAGCTTTGAATGTCACTTCTGTAAACAAAACAAAAGTTTAAATTAAATAAAAGACGATGATCCAATTTTAAAATTCTATACTTTTTTAATACGTCAGTAAACTTTTATTGCAATGAAATTATTAATAGCTACTTGTTTAAATTACACTATTTTATCCAAGCCAAAGGCTTATCTAAACTTTTCTAGGGATTATTTCGCTCCCACTCACTTCCATTCCAAAATAACTATCTTGAAAAAAATACTGTAAAACATTCAAATTTATAGTAAAAGTTAACAAACACTTAGCATATTTGTAATTATTTTATATAAAGTAATATATATATATATATATATATATATATATATATATATATATATATATATATATATATATATATATATATATATATATATATGCATAAGTTATATAAAAAGGTATGTCCTTAAAGTTTTTTATATCGAGATGGCCATACAGACTTAGACATTTGATGACTCCTCCCTACCTCCCCCCCACCCATATATATTTATATATACTATATATATACATCTGTATACTATATATGCTACTATATATATTCACTACTAGCCAACAAAAAATCAACATGAACAATCCGCCTATAGTCTTATGGCCATCACGCTATCTATAAAACTTTTCCTAAACAGATAAGCAAAACATTCTACCTGTGCCCTTGCCATACACGATGTTGTAGTTTCCTCTGTTACAAATGTAGGCTTGGACATCAGGTGACTTAGATGTGAAGCAATAAGAAGCGGTGATCGTTAGCTCTTCTGTTAAATATACAAAAAGTAATTGTATAACTCCCACACCGATATATATATATATATATATATATATATATATATATATATATATATATATATATATATATATATATATATATATATATATATATATATATACGTAATGTAGGCCTACGTAATGAACTTACAAACTTATGTACACGTATTTTCGAAAGTATGTATGTACATCTACATCTGCGTCTCTCTCTCTCTCTCTCTCTCTCTCTCTCTCTCTCTCTATATATATATATATATATATATATATATATATATATATATATATTTATTTATATATATATATATTAAAAATATGAAATGAAATACTTTGTCCGTGTGTTGGTTCAGAATCATCCATTGCGTGAAAGGTCATAGGTGCATTGAATGCAGCATCTGTTAATTAATGACACAATTAGTTCCTAATGGTATTAAATAATAAATATAGGTATCATTAAATAATAAACACTGGTATCACTAAATGATAAATACTGGTATCATGAAATAATAAATACTGGTATCATGAAATAGTAAATACTAGTATCATTAAATTATAATTAAAAACAATTATGCTGTTGTATCCGTTCTTTGCCAACACATTATTTATTAGGAAAGTCATACAATTAGAACATGTAAGACAATTATACGTTTCTTTCTACGTGTTCAGTGAGAGGGGTAGGGTGGGAGTCGGGCGACAGACGTGTTCTATGGGGTGGGGTGTCCTGGAGTGAGACAATCACTGTTACGCAATGTTGACATTACATCTAAAAAACAGACTATTCTCATGCATATCATCACCTTGTAACGTTGGTGCCCAAGCCATACGCGGCAGTAGAAGTAGAGTTCATTTGTTTAAAATGACCTCGGCATACAGTGGGATACTGTGGTCAGCACTACGCGGAACATAGCTGGGTAGTCTCTTGAAAATTCTTTAGACTTGAACCCGGGATTCAAACTCGAGACTTTCTGGATGTCAGTCGTAGGTTCTAGCATTTGACCACGACGTCCCTCACACATTTCATCAAACAAATTTTTTACCTTAGATAAGACAAAAGTAAATACCTTCATAATCGTACATGTCCATGTACGATTCTCTCAGACGTGAAATGTTTACTTTCACGAGGTCGCAGGAAAGAAATTTGAGATCGGTGGCATCATAAAAGAGGCAGACGTTCATAGCCACCATCAGCCTCCCAGTCAGCTTCGGTCTCGCCAAGAATGTCTCGTCCAACATAGAAGGGAAATTCTCGTCACTAGATCTGGCTGTTTCTTCCCACTTCCAGCAGGTGCCAGAATAATTGGCTACATCCTGACCAGGCTCTTCAGGTGGGGACGGCTGTACACCTAGAGAAATAACACAAGTTTATAAAGTTTGTGTTTATAAGACTGGTCAAGTATTCATTTCGCGTCGCATTATTAAATAATAAATACTGATAACAAAATCGGGCAGCTATCCAGAGTTTTCGTAACTTAATATTGCTTTCATAGTTTGTATGTTTTGAAGTTAATAAGTAAAGTTCCTTTTAGCTTCTTGCGGCCAACTTTGCAGGTAAAGTAGACTCCATCTGTTTCTGTGACCTCGTCACATAAAGGGATGGTGTTGTCAGTACTATACCCAGCCGCCTTTACTCTCCCTAACGTAAGTCACGTTAACAAGCTATAATTCTAGCCAGGGACCCGTACTCGAGACTTTCAGGTATGTAGACGACCGCTCTACCATTCGACCATGTCGTCCCAAAATTTTTAAAATCCTTATCAGTTAAAAGCTATAATTATTTTGTCGTATAAACTTTTATAATAAAGATTAATGTACAGTTATAAAAAAGTTTGTTCTAGGCTTAATGTTGTGCTGGATGAAACATGACAAGATGAACTGGTACGTTTATTTTAAATTTGGACCATATATATATATGTATACATATATATGTATATATATACATATCTATTATATATATATATATATATATATATATATATATATACATATATATATATATATATATATATATATATGTATATATATATATATATATATATATATATATATATATATACGTATATATATATATATATATATATATATATATATATATATATATATATATATATATATATATATATATATATATATATATATATATATATACCTACAGATTTATAATAGGCATTTCGATTTTAAGTAATACAGAAAAAAAATTTAAAAAGATATGAGCATTATCACAACCAACATTTTTAAAAATTTCATCTAACTTTTAAGAATTAATATTAAGCTAGTGTGTTAAAATTACAAAATAAACATTTTATTTCGGAATAATAAACTGCAAGACTATCATGATTGTTAACAATGGCCCTCGTGTTGTCCTTTCTGAACTATTATCATGGTTAATGAAGACGCTCATCATATAGCCACGTCTGAACCATTATGATGTTTAATGACGTTAAACTTTGGGTGTTTTCTTAGATTGTTAAGTTTAAAGAAGGCTTTAAATATTGTTAAGGTATTAAACGCATTTAAACAGAGTTTCTTCGAAGCACCCGCCCCCGAACAAAGTCTAACCCCCCCACCCCCCCTCCCCCGAACGAAATGGAATTTAAATAGAAAATATATACTTTTACCTGTGTCCACCCCCTCCCCCCTTCCGTAGAAAAAAGTCTGAAAGAAACACTGCATTTTAAGAAGTTGAAAACAATGTTTCAACATATGGTTGTCATAAGATTTTAGTAAATCTAAAACTGAATCTACTAACCGGTTGCTGCGAATAAAAGCAAACAGCAAATAATGAGTTTCATGGTTTGTCTCTGTTCTTTATCTGTAGATAAATTAATAAATTAATTCTCGAAACTAAACACAATCTACTAAATATATTAGAATAAAAGAAAGCAGCGGTTTCCTAACTGGGAGTTGTGAGCTTCACTGAAATTCGCGATAAGTTTTAATAAAAAGTACACTATATAATATTTAAAATATCCAGCTATAAATGAGATACTATATATTATATATTTAAAATTGTATATATTATAAATAATTTGAAACGTGTCACTGGAGACGAAAATGACATTTGTTAAGTAAAGGATATCGTATCACATCACTGAAAGGTATTCACATTCCTAAAAGTATACAACCGACGATATACTTAAATTGGAATTTGCTCTTCGGTCTAGCAGCTGAAAACTCTACAATTCGGCCACGCCATCCCTCATTATTACTATTAAAACGAGTACACAAATTGTTTAACAAAACTTTTGTATGAATATCAAATCAATGAAAAGAGATACCAATAGCGTGTTTGTTTTTTTATATTGTGTTGTTTAAAGAGAAAAAATGAACTTAGTGTATTGTGTTTATTAAAATTAAAATCAACACAAACGTTAAGTGAAAATGACAGGAGAGTATAATTAACGTTCACGAGAGAAAAATTTCAGGACACCTAAAACTGATTGGCTTTTGCATCGTTATATTGCACCCACCCCTCACACTCACTATATTTCCAACACACACACACACACACACACACACTTACTCACACACACACACACACACACTCACACACACACAATCAAACACACACTCACACACACACACTCACACACAGACAATCAAACACACACTCACACACACACACACTCACACACACACAATCAAACACACACACTCACACACACACACACTCATACACACACACACTCACACACACACAATCAAACACACACACTCACACACTCACACACACAAACACACTCACACACACAATTCCTCCACCAGCTGTCGTAGATTTATTTAGGGAAGTCTAAGGCCAGCTGTTTGAGTTACGTTTCTAACCAGATACTTATACCTTATCTTCTTACCTTTTATATTAATAGAACCCAGCTCGGCTATTCGAGCCCAATATCTCCAAGTGCTGATGTTTCTACTTTAAACTTTTTCCGATGACTTCCATGCGATCTACTTTTTTAAATATAAGAACGGACAAATATTCAAATGTACTTAAAGCTTGTAACAACTTATAATATCCACTTACTTTCAACAGTGTACCTTCTGCACCAGAGGCATAGCGACCCTTCCCTGCTCCCGGGGACAAACTAAACTTTCGATTTGCAACCCCCCCCTCAAACTTACGATTTGCAACCCCCCCCCCCCCCCTCAAACTTACGATTTGCACCCCCCCCCTCAAACTTTCGATTACTTTTTCCAACCCATTTTGGCGCCCCCTAAGGTCGGCGCCCGGGGACATATGCCCCCCCCCCCATCGCTACGCCTTTGATCTGCACCCCAAATACCACTTACGTAAATCAAACGATTGTTTTAAACCATGTTTGAAATTTTAAAGTTATCAACTGTTTTACTTAAAAGCACAGAGCATGATACTAACTAAAACTACCTTGACTTTATCGAAAGGAGATAAGTGATTACACCTTAGGCTTTAGACCTAGTCCACTATGTTTTTTTCTTATCTCACATATTTTATCTTATAACAAGTCCAAAAATATCTTTCAATTTTTAAAGGAAATCTACAGCACACATGAAAGTACTATAACTAAATGCCATTGAAGGACCTACCTAGAAACCAGTACTATTATTAATTTACCTAGTCCTATAAATTTAACCGTGGTAGGGGTAAGTATCGGCTAATTTTCTACTTTTTGTTTATTTTCTTAAAGAAATATTCAAACTCTTGGCAACACGCCACCGGATGTTATAAAAGTGTAAAGTAAATGTCAAGCAATTATGGCTTGCGTGTGTGCATGAATCGGGGTTTACCGTTTTCCAGTGCAACGCTTTTATTAAAATACTAGTGAGTAAGGGGTGGGGTTCATGGTGTGTAGGAAATGTGTAGTTGCTCTTATTTTATTCAGACTAGTGTGTGTTGGGGGTGGGTCTATGTAGATTTAACTTAAGGAATATTTATTCAGTTAGTATAATTATTTATTAGGAAAGTTAAAATATAACAATAAAAATGATTGTGATATGTCCTTTACAGTAATATAGTGTAAATAGTTCTAATGAACGCGCCCACGAGTTGTTTTATGTTTTTACATTTAACGGTAACTTTTTTGGCAAAATCTAAAAAAAAAAACCTAGTTTTTTATTATTTATGTAAGCAATAATGATCTCTTCAAGCGTGGACGCCTCATATCAGCTTTCTCTGAACAGTTTTCGGCTGGTATAGGAAACTACCATACATCAATGTTCACGGGAAAGCAGCTGGCAGAGACAGGACTGTCATGGGGGCACCGGAAATTTTAGTCCCGTCCCGTCCCCGTTCCCCGAAAATTTCAAATGCCCCCCCCCCCCCCCCGGAGAAAAAAGTCTGGAAGAAACACTGCATGGGGGGGGGGGGGAGGCAGGGAACTGTCAGGAGAATTTCCGTAGACCGACAATTTTTTTGGCTCAAAAAGAAAAAGATGATGATGAATGTTCACATAAACTATACCTTATTTGCTGTTGTTAAAGCTCACTCATATCATTTATAAAATTAATTTTCAATTAATTAGACTGAAAATTTCTTTCAACTAACTACCGCAAAGCGATTTATTAAACAAATAGAACTGTAGAAAAGCAAGTAAAAAATTGAAAACAAGGATAGGGGTTGGCATGGTCGAGTGGGTAAAGCTCATGGCTGCTAAACTGAAAAGTCTCGAGTTCGAACCCGCGGGCAGATGAGGCTCGTTAGGAGAGCCAACTCCCTATTCAAAGCGCTGCTGTCTTGTAGTTTGTTCTTCGTTGGACAAGCAAATCCAAAAAGAAAAGCAGGCTGAAATTGGAGTCAATGGCCTCAATGATACTTGACACTCATTCATAATTGTGCTGGAGGGGAACTCTTCCAACACTAAAAAAAGGGAACACTTATATATGAATTGGCATTGGTTTAATGCAATTACAAAATCAATCATTGTTCAGATTTGTTTTTATAAAATAAATAATGACTTAATATCATAAGTCACCATAAATATTTAATCACAAAGTTGTGGAAGTTGAATAGAAATGTACGTGAGATAAATAATTTAATTTTTAAACCTTCAAAACCTATCTGGATGCACAACATTGTTATGTTTCTTTTAAATGTTTATGTCAAACAAATATTTCACTTAACCAAATAATTAAATGCATATAACTGTAATTTACCCATCTTTTTATGTTTGACTTAATAAGCCCAGAGCCTGACTTATAATAAAATGTTGTTGCATTATAAGAATGCAAAACAAAAGTAATAATTTTTTAAAGGCTCACATAAATATTTAATTAAAAATGTATATCCTTCAAAAGGCCTACCTGATTAAAAAATTTCTACATCTCAAAACATCACATACTTATAAATATTGAATACATTTTTGCATCAAATAAGATTTTAAAAATTGTGATTTTAAGTTATGGAGTTACAATTTAACGAAACAAAACACTTCACCGTCCATTCTTATCACACTGCTAGCAAGTGGTTTTACTGTGGGTGGATGGGTGTTGTTCTTTTTTTAAAAATAGAACTAACAAAGATCAACTCTTTCATAACAATTAATGCATTAAAACAATATTAAGAATCCTAAAATTGCTTATTCTTAAGTATAAAAACTGTATGTTGACAATTACAGTTATTATTATACACATCTTGAAAATAACTACTGTACAAAACATCAATTGTAGAAATCATCTACCATTTGCTTTAAAACTTTTGAAGATTAACATAAGTCAGTCTTTATAAATTCATTAAGCAATTCAATGCTCAT